ACAGCAGGAATTCCCCCCCCCCCCCCCCGATATATGAAATATTTTAAACATTCGTGTAAGCGTGCCACGTAGTGGAATCAAATGCCACATCATTGCATGTCAAAAACACATTCATATTTTTTGCGAAAATGACGACTAAGTTATCAGGATTTAAGTTGATGTCGACGTTCGTTTTTAACATTGAGGTCTAATTTGTGCCTCTTGAAAGACCTTAGTGAAAGAATCGGTTCGAGAGTGTTCTTGTACCGGCAACTCAAAGTTCAGTGGATGATGTAATACCCTGAACCGGGTTGGTGTAACTGGTTTCAGCCTTTGTTCCAAGTCCAGGCTCGTAGCCTGTGCCCGTTCGATTGTAAGTGACTCGTGGTGTTGAAGATATTGTTCGAGGGCGAACGGAGCCATTGACAAATGAGGCGTCAAATTACGAATTAGAATGTGGATTGACTGCAAAATTTGCCAATCGCCCAAGTTGCGCGTTCAGTGGTCGTTGAAGCCGATGGATTGTTTTGTGTTCAATAAGGTGACACAAAGTCGGTTTGTGGAACGTTGGTCTGCCCGTCACGCGGTTAAGGCGTATGATGGCTAGGTGCGCAGATCAACTTCAATTGGTTGTAGCCTCAAACTCCTCAAAAACGGCTTTGCTTACGACGTGGTCGAGGCTATTTGATGGAATCCCAAATTCGCCTATAAGTAACAGCTTCACAGCTTTTCCCACGTATTCGGCTTCACCAGGGCATCGTACCTGTTTCCGATTTCTGGATAGTAATGTTTCGCTTGCTGTGTTCTTGCATAGCTTGACCTCTTATCGCATGTCCTTCTATTGACCGTGTTACTGTGCCCCAAGCTCATGCAGCTGCTTTCCCGGGGCTCGTATTTACCATGACCTGCATCTTAGCCTGATTTCAGCTCTTAACGTTTATCTGGTATTAAATCACATTCTTTTCCTAGTGTTAATGATTGATCATACACGTCTTCTTCAGGACTACCCACGGACCCTGGCCGTCTCATTGGCGGTGCACAATGTGGCGGCTGTCTTTCGCGACGACGTCTCCCGTCACGACTACTGGAGTTTGGGTACGGAGGATGACCAATTCCTAACTGACGAGTTTGCCATCATTCACCGACGCGACTACGAGACGTCCAGTGCCTGCCTCGAGAACGACAGGCCTCCCCTCGCCTTCGCATCTGAGGCCATTGTTGTGCGGATCTATCGCCTGTGGAAGGATACCGAGTGAGTGACCTGTGGCGGTCTTGTTTCTTTAGGGTGCGCAACTCTCTACCAACGACAAGTGACTAATTTTTGCATTCTTTGATATTTCGTTAAAATACTAGAACATTTTAGTAAATTGTGCAGATGTTTGGTGACTCGATTGGACGCTAACCGTGTTCCTACGAGTATGTAATTACGACCAATGCTTGTGTTACGCAACTCCTCTGATTAAAACCATCTAAATCACGAAGTGCCGTGGTCTTTGGATGTATTAGATCAAAAATGAGTGGTGAGGGCTCGTTTTGACCACATTTTTAAGGTTATCGAGTGAGCTGTCCAGGAATCCTAATCAGCGTTTTCTTAGGGCAGCTCGTACTGCTTTGGGGTGATATCTGAATAAGCCAATCAAAATCGTTATCGCTTCTCACTTTTTCACGAGAACTCGTAGCGTGGCGATATTGTCCGTCTTGCATTCATTTGTCAAAACAATTTCCCCTCATAAAATTTGGGCAGTTGGAAACTCGTGCAGCAAATAGTTTAAACTGTGTGATTCTGCAATTTTTCTTGCATTTTTATCCCTCTTTTTTCGCTGGGGACTTATGTCCCAATATTCACAACCTTCTCACGTCTCCATGCATCCCTTCCTTATTGCATGCTCGCATTATCGATGGAAAGTCACGCTGGTCGTTTTATACTTACTGCAAAACTTGCATTATGTCAAGTTATTAAAATAGCTCCGTATTCAGTGTTAAAATGTCTGCTGTTTTTGTTGCCTGACGTTTTAAGTGGTTCATGAACCGACGCCGTTTTTTTTACGATTTAGTGGCAAAAGTTGGATGGAAGGTGGAGCCTTCCTCCGACCCTACGATCTCCCCTCCTCGGTCTTGTCTACCACAGACGCGCTCTGGCATCCGCGGGAGCTGGTCTACGACGAGACGAGTCGCCTGGTGTTGCCTCTATCGGCTTTGCGCGGTCGATGCTCCGTTCTCTCTCCCAGTATCTACCGTTTGGGACGTCCCGCTGACCTCCCCGCGGTGCTACGGTCCGGTGGTGGCGAAAATGACCACCACGACCCTCACCCACTCGTCTTCCTCTGCGAACGTCTCATGACTAAAAATTCAGCTGGCGAACTCCTCTTTCAAGACATCGCCCCTGCCTACCTTAAGGTCACCATGAAGGTAATTGTTTGATCGCCCTGACTTCTGAACTCTCTAAAGTATCCAAGTAATTGACTGCTTTAATGTCGGAGCGTACTATCTTGTGGTTTGGGACTTGTGAACTGCTCTGTAACGTCCACTTTCTAGGCTCACTGGCGCCATTTTGAAGACGCAGCGGCAACGACAGACCAAATCAACTGTCTACGACGTGTATTTTCGTATATACGTAAATTTTAGCTCGTGTAATCCCTCTTTTTGTAGAAATTGTTGAACAGCTATGTAAACTTAGCACTGCCTCCTCGTGACTAATTTTATGTACGTATTTCCCCCTACTTTTTGAGCTATGCTGTTTCATTTTAACACCATAGTGCTATTTAGCCTTTTGAATTTAGCTTCGAGCTATTGTTCAGTAGAGCTTGTGAAACTACAGAACTGTTTTTTTTCATCACTGCGCCTTTACCCCTTCCCACAGCCCTACTACTTCCTCCGGCACCCAGAGTCATCAGCCCTTCGAGCCGCAATTGTGCGGTCGTCTACGCCCAGCGAACTCTCCGCATTGGACGCGGTGGCACCGCTGGGGGAAATCGTGCCGAGCGGCGTGGAGAGCGGCAAACTTTTCGCTCCGTTCTGCAAAAGGCGGTGGAGGGAAACAGAAGAAGAACCTGTGGAAGAGTCGAAGGCTGAGGATTCCTCCTCTGTTTGGACGAATGAAGTAGGACTGCCATTCTTTCTTCACACCTGACAGATAAAATAAACGGGTGATCTAAAGTCTGCCAAACCACATCCATATTTCCGTCGAAATGGAATCCACGTTCGAGCATAGTCTGTTTTTAAATAGTTTATGTGACGAGTGATATATGCCCGCATTTCATCCCTCCTACAGTCTGCTTTATTGGACTTGAATGATGATTAATTTACCCAAAATAGTATCAAAGGGCCAACTTTATTTACAGCCGCCTTCCATGGGTCAACGGAAGACCGGAAGAAGTCTGGATGCTGTGCTCGCCCGGTTAAAACCGATACCGCTACCCACCAACACTGCGAACACCAATGGAACCTTCCACCATGGTCCTCGAAAGTCCCAATGTGTCAAACTGATTTCTTCCAGCCACGGCAGTTCCACCTCGAAATCCCCAACCAAAAAACGCAGTCGTGGTCTCTCGACCTCCGCCTCCAAGCCGTCGGTAACCACGTTGACCTTCATGCAGCTCCAACAGCAAATTGCTCTTGGCGATGATACCCTCACCAAGGAAGCTGCCTCGCCAGTAACCACCCCAAAACGACGTGGTCGAAAGCCAAAACCTGTGACATTCGGCCCCCTGAGGGATGATGACGTCGACGAGCAGATTGAATTCGAGGAGTGCGCCGATGTCTCATCTCCATCTTCACCCAAAGAAGCCGTGGTTGCGGATATCACTGAAGAAGAAGGCGTTGTGCATACTTGTGATAGCCTTGTGGTGGAGGTTCTCTGTCACGTGGCTACTGCCGATGACCCCGTCTCTGACGAACTGCTTCCGCCTCCGGAAGTGCTAGAAGAACCAGCGGTGCAGATTGTGTCCGCTGTCGACTTCGGTGGGCCTGAGGAATGCCTACCTGTTTGTTGCGATCAGGTTGTCATGGAGGTAAGCATCCATCAGAAGTCTTTTGTTAGTCATCGTAACGTCAGGTAAACACGTGTGCAACTTAGCCCAATGTTTTTAGCTGCGTCGTGCAATTTAGCTGTTGCTCTTTGCTATCCACAAACGTCTACAGAAATGTATGTTGACGTTGATTTTATCAACCCTTTTTTGTTCCTTTCCCAGACTCCTCCTTTAGCCACACTAGATGTGATTGTTCACGAATGTGTTGGTTCAGTGTCCACGCCGGTAGAAGGCAACGATGCTGCGACAGCAGTGGCACACGCGTCCTCTCCACCCGCCCACGAAATCGCTCATGCACGCCCCACTCCGCGTATCCTCCACGCAGAATTCGAGGCGACTCCTGAGGCTGTTTTGGACATCCACCCTGTCTTTGAAAGCGTCGAATTCCTCGAGTCCATGCCATTTCTTGTGGAGGGCGTGGCAAATACCATGTTGCAAGCCCAAATCACCTCCTCGTGTGTGTTGAAAGAACCGGAGACGTGTCTGCGGCAAAACTTTGAAGACGCCTACCAACCCATCAGCAGCAGTTCAGAGTCCAGTTCAGAGGGCTCTGTTGATGTTGTCAACGACGACAGTAGAAGATTGAAGACAGTGTGGGTCCGGACTTCGGACGGTGACGAGCAGGAGGACTCGAAGGAGCAGCGTCGTTCTAACCTCTCGAGCTCTCGTCGACGCAAGGGCAGCAGTCCAAAGAAGCGTGTTTTTGAAGATCCCGAGTTTGTACTCGACCTCTCGGCGAAGTCTAGCGGCGACGAGTAGGTGGCAGTCGAGCATGCGCCTTTTTGCATGTCCGTTTGTGTATAGACTGCATTTTATTACACCCCACCCCCTACCTACCTATCTATCTCTACCAACCCCCTCCTCCGCCTCCACTCACTCCTGATCTCCTTGTGTATATAGAAAAAACAGCTCTCCACTTTCTCCCTCTCTCTCCCGCGACCTCCGGTGTTTGCTTTTGCGTGCGTAATACCAATTTTCCAGCTAGCGGTCACCTTCCCCTTTGTCGATCGTGTACACTATTGCTATTATCATGCCGTCTAAATTATACTTTAAACTTGACCTCACATCACCGAATATATTGATAATATATTTTTTTCGGAAACCTGTTTTTTCGCTTGTGTTGGGACAGGTCAAGGCGTGCATGATTGATGTAGGTCGCCTGATTCGCTCGTCAAAGTGTACCATGTTTACTCGCGAGCATATCCAAGTCAGCTCCAAGTTCCCTTTTTTTAAATTACAACTGACTCTCTAACATGGGAATAGCGTGATTGTGCTGTCAGTGATCCACTACTAAGGGATAGTTCGTGGTAGATCTTCTTGACTTCGAAGTTTCAGAGGGGAGGTGTTCATTTCGATTTTTGGGCCAGACATTTGGGTGATAACGCGTTTGTAAGTTCGGAAACGCATCAACTTATGAGGAAACTGAGGTCAGCAACGTCGAGAAGCACGCGAAGCCTAAGAGGTTTACAAAGTTAGCGAGTATGCGCCACAGGCGTTTTCTGACCGCAGATCGTTCGTAAAGCTATCAATGCAACCTATCTGTACCACAACATTCCGAGCGCTGATTATTCGTACTTGCCACTTGTCAAGACAGTTCCGTGAAACTGGCGGTGAATACACCCGTCAGTTGTCCAGGGTATTTGAGCAGATTGAGATGAGGCGACAGCGTAGTTTTGTGCAAAAAGCTGCCTTGTTTTAGGCAAGGTTTTGTTGATAACACGTGGTGAATCTACCCTACTGTCAGTCAGAATTTTCGGGAATGTAGCTAGAGCTGTGAGCATGTGTGACATCGGCGAAGGTGTGGGATTCAGTTTGGGGAAAACCGACTGCAGAGGACATCTGTGAATAATAGTAGTATGTGTTCTGCTTCGCTAAAATGAGCGTTGCAGAAACTGTCTTCCCATTAGACTCTGGACGAAAATTATGCACGCGGGAGTAGGAAGGACGTAGCGGCAGCGTGGCCAGATTTTTATCCAACATGTTACTCGTCTATGGTAAGCCTACAATCGAGGGCTGATTGAATTGAAAAGACAGACCCGTGATGAAGGATACAAACGTTAATATTTTTTACAGTCGCAAAGAAGGGTCAGCGCAGGGGTGCCTGATTTAAGTGGGTTATTTCCCTGCCTTCTTTAAGACGTGAAAAGGCTACGCGGCGATCACCTCAGGCGCTAGTGTGAAGCCATTCCTATTGTGGTTTTTTTTAACCTTCGCATCTAGATGCCTCTTAATGACGCTCCACAGTTTTTGACGGTCAGTTCCGTTTTACAAAAACGGCTAAGAGCTTCTGGCTTGTATTTTAAGGGTCATTTGGCAACTAACGGCCTAATCAGACCTACCAATGGAAATCCTAGGATGGGGTTTCGACCATGCCAGAATCAAAACTTTGCATTTCCAATTCTGCCAGTCCATGGTGACATTCTGAATAATTCACTGCACGTATTTAATTCAAATAAATGCGACCCATAGGTTTTACTTGTTGCTTCAAAAATAGTGCTACAGAATTGGCTAGATTTCATGTATTGTGGTTTCGATAAATTTTCAATTCGCTTTGGATCTGTTTCACCAAAAAGTCGTGAAGCTTCTCCATTTAAACCACTAATCCTCTGTGAGTTGGATCAACATTGGTTCAAATTACCAAAGTGCTAATTTTAGTAAGAATGGCCGATATCGCAGGAAGACAAACAAACAGCTGAGAAAGGACTTATCTTCCCTGATTGCTCCTGTGTGACTAAGCTAATGAAGAGTGCGCCTAGGTGCAAAATACTTTATAATACGTGCATACGCAATAACTGCTAGCATATAACATTATCAGGAATACTGAGGGCGAACGAAGCGGGATAATGATACGAATTTTCTGTGGATTTTATACGCACCCGTGCAAGACTAACAGGAAATGCTAGCAAACAAAGACCTGGCTGCGATTTGTGTGAGCCAAAGTCAGTGAGCACTTTCGTGAGACCCAAGACAATTGTAGCAAAGGAAGATCTCAAATAATTAAATTTCCCGAACATGTAATAAGCTGACCGTCCCAAGCAGTATGGTCTTTGCAGCATTTTTGCGAAATTAATAAAAGAAGAAGGGTGATATTCACCAGCCACAAACAAGATGCCTATAATTTGGACAGTTTGATTCCCACTTGACTCCGCACGTTATTGACTTCTAGTCGCTTGATTTGCCACACCAAAACCAGCAGGGTCTCTGAGTACTTGGCATTATATTTTGTCACAGCAAGCCCGTTTTGCCCGAGGTAGCGCTTTTGGATCTCCAAGTGAGGCCGTGATGGAGAAGCCTAACACGTCACGCTTCGTGTTATATCCTCAAAAGACAAATCTACTCACACGAACCAGACGAGCTCACTTGGTTAAATACAGCACAAAGAGGTGGCTGGGTTAATTTGACAAATTAAACCATGTATAAAAGCGAGGAAACAGCACAGACTAAACCTATTACCTTCCTTATTTATGACGGATTTTTTGTAAAAAAAGCCGGAGTACAGAAAAGAATTTGCATATTGGTGCGTATGAAATACAGGTTGTGATAATAAGTATATTTACAAGTCCCCGTTGCCACCACGGGGAAAGAACTAGTCGTCGTCATCGTCGCCGAGGGCTGCAGCCAGGATGAAGGTCTGGAAGCGGCGTTCAGTCTCCTCGGAAATAGTCACCACATCGCCGGGCCGCCTTTTTATCTTCCTGAGCATCGCCCGCTGCCTCCGCACGCGTGTTTGGGCTGCCGCGAGGTGGAATTTTGCCAAGTCAGAGGTGGGGTTTGAGCAAATTTCCTCGATTACCGCGGCATCGTTGAAAGATTGCATGCGAAGGGGAGCGGCGGAGGGCTGCTGCGGCAGAGGCCTCGGTGGGGGTTTGAAGCATCTGGTGCCGCCGCCTCCGTCCCGTCGTCGACGAGACGAGACGTACTTGGGCCCAGTGGACGGGGCTTCATGACTCACTGGAGTGACCACTTCTTCAATTGTTTCGAGACCGCGCAAAGCCGGGGCAACGTAAGGCCGAAGTAGCCACTCGGGAGGCTCCTAAATGATAAGTTTCTTCTTAATTACATGTTTTTTTAAACCAAGTACTCGCGGTAAAATAAAGTTCTAGGTAACGTGCTGAGCAAGTGTACCTCCAGGTTGGATGACAGAGTCAGAGGAAAACTCGGTTCTCCGAAGGCGCTTGAGCAGCTAATGTAATTGAAAATGACAATTAAAGTTCGGTGAAACATACCAACCTACCTAATCTACAGATCTGTAGTTTTTTATATAATCCGACGGAATACCACTAGAAATTTAAGACATGAAGATTCTCTATAAGAATAATGAATTGTGCTATTAGAATCCCTAAAACGTAAACTGATATGGTAAAAGAACAAAGTTGAACATCGGAATATTCACAGGTGGCTAGCTAAAGCATGCAGGTGATGCGACTAGAGTCTAATTTACGAAAACAAAACCAAAACGCAGAAAATACCCTTATATTTTTAAACAAATGCTAGCTGTAAAAACTAACAAGACGGATGTAGGTAAATGTCTTCGAGTCAATGAGGAATGAGAGGTGAAATAACTAACAGAGATTAGTTAAGATATGTCATAGTCATTCGACTGCACCTACCATCCTCTACTGTACGCGTATTGAATATGAATTATTTCAAATAACGAGTAATGATGTTTACAATTGAATCGTTTGGATCCAAAATCTGTTAGGAGAAATGGCTTAAGAAATGATATTCAGAAGGGAATAACACAGCTTTCATGCTTCTATAGCTGGGGAAAGCTGCACAACAAAAAAACTCGTCAGATTTTAATAAAAGTTGATGCCACTATTTGGATAATTTAGAGCAGTTTCGCCACCATATTTTAAAAGTTTTGACCATGCAAAACAAATATGTAAATGTTACATCATCGAACGAACCTGGCGTTCATTTTCCTTGTTCTCCGATGAATTAGACGAAGTGATATAATCTTGCTCATTCGACACAGTACCGACTAATTCCCCCGAAGAGGGAAGGCAATAATTAAACGGCGAATCAGTTAATTTTTTTTCATCATCTGTGATAAAAAAAAATACTTAGCAGAGAAAAAAATAAACAGCAAAATATATGGGAGACAGAATAAGCAACCTATCGTGAGAAGCACTACATTGGACATAATTGTAGAAGCGTGTAAAAAATGGAATCAAACGGCTTGCCTCATAAATCTTCATCTAAATAGAAATATAACAGAAACGCGGCTCAGAACTGACCTCTATCGGATGCAGAAGTGTGGACATCACATTTAGGTTGAGATGTTGAGTTCAGACCGCAAAGTAAAGATTTTCTTCGAAGCCTTTGTGATCTTCGCACGCAGCCATCCGATTCATCTACATCATTTGACAGTGGTGAAATTATGTTTGTTCTATCCACGTCAACAAGTGGAGATGAGTGTGTCTTCTTTCGACGTTTACGAGAATCGTTGTTTTTCAGGACACATTGACTCGATTTTCTAACTAGAGTCGGTTATCCAAGTATGTTATAATACCATCAGTGCGAGATCCTGCTTTAAAGCGTTTTGGTTGCTTCATAACGGCCAAAAAATAAACTCAAAGACAGATACCCAAGTACAAATTTAGGCCTCAAGAGTTACTGTGATGCGGTGCAAGAACGCAGACAAATTGATACGCAGCTCAGCTCAGCCAATCGTACGTTCGTAAGCATTTGAATGGTCTGCGAAACATATTCGCAGCCAATCGGAGACATAGACAGATGAGAAGCACCATGAACTGAGAGGCAAAGCCAGAATGTTTGACTCAGATAGACGGTGTCTGACGATTGTTTTTTGCTTGCAGTTGGTAAGTAAAACATGTTTTATCTGTATTTATCTTTTTGAAATCAAAGCTCATACATTCAACTATTAGAACCCCGCCGATTGGTTAAACTCAGCAACCTATGGTAAAAATGTCTTCAAGCTGCTGAAATACTGCAGGTTTATTTAGATGTCAAACTGCCAAAATCCATAGTTCCCAAACATTAACTCCATACCCTTAAGCCAAGTATTGAGGGCTCTGCAGAGGCGATTTGATTTGATGCTTTTCAGCCTAGCATGTTTATAACTCTAAATCACTTAAAAAATATTTACTGGCTTTAAGGTGTTTTAAGGGTTAAAACGTCGTAATGTATGAACAGCATCTTATCTTGAACAAGTTAAATGTGTCAAAACACAGGTTAGTTGGTCAGTTAAATAAAGGTTTTTGTGCAAATACAGATAGAAGCAAGGTCTAAAATTGTTCAGTGCAGCGTCACAGGATATCGCTGAAAGTGTCCTGCTACCATTACAGACGGAGTTACAAATTTCAATGGCTTTGATCACGGTATTTTGTCCACGACTGATAGTTGTAGTTGATAAGATATAATGGATTCTTTGTTTTACAACAATTAAATGAGGTCCATTTACGCGCCTGGTTTCTAACTATACCAAAATCGTGGATCTGATTAAACTGCAGTACCACGGGAATGCAGTTTTACAACTTTGAGTGCTGCCGCTTCAGTGAAATTTTCTATCGTAGTCATAACAGTTGTGATTTCCAAGTGGTAATGATTAATTCTATTTGATGCAATCGGCAATCAAATAGGGAAAAAAAATAACTCCTTGACCGTAACTTGTCATAATAATAAATTATAAAGACAACAAGTGCCTCATATTTGGCTTTTGCACCGTTCGAAACACACGACTACCTCTGACATTTTTTGTCTCTACGTTAATGGACAAATTACTGGATAGATTTTATGAAGAAACAGCATTAATTGCAATTACATCAAACGTTTTATATAATTTTTTTAAAGTTTTTATACTGATTATGCATTTCGTTGCCTATCAAATCGTGAGGGTAAATTTAAATATGCTTCATGGGTTTTGAAAATAAAGAAATGTGAATGAAACAGGTTTCGGGAAGTAAATATTTCTTAGGTGATAACAGTAGTTTCTTAGATTTGACCACTATGTAGAACATTCGTAAAAGGCCATTGATTTGTCCATGGAACATCATTTCATATTTCTAAAATGGAAGCATTTTGCATCAACATGTTCTAGTAGAATTCCTCTATATATAAGTAGGCGACTTTTCAGTTAAAATCCGGTTTTTATAGAATGAGTAAAAAAGTCAAACATGCACGTTTAAGACGTAATAGAGGAGATTATGGAGAGATAGGCAGATTGTGAATTGATAAAAAGACCTTTTTAATTTTTTTCAAATTAATTAAAGAAACAGGCAAAACATTTCAGATATGTTAGGGCTTTATTAGGAGTTAAATTCGCTTTAATTTGTTTTTTTTTTAGTCAGGAGACGTAAATAAAATTATTGAATGATAATGATGATGATTCTTCAATTGAGCTATATGCACGTCATTTGACCTTTCTTTTCTATTCGTTGGATTTCAGGCCTTCTTTGATTAAAGAACCCATGTGTCTAGCACTCACCTAGCCTATTTGACACTCTTTCCAGCGAAATCACAACATAAGGTATGTCACAAATAAGGAATCGTGACCAATGTTGTTTTTTGTAGTCTGTCAAATATCGTTTTTTTGATACTAGCCATAGTTATTTTGTTTAACAGCATTTGTTACAGTTGACATTTACTTTTATTTGGCAGAAAGTTTTTTTTTACGCTATTTGAAGCGGATATTTCGACGTCATATTCTGATTTTTAGTTCAGGGACTGCCGTACAGTGTAATACAATTAAACACTTTCTTCTAGGCGGCGTTCTTTTGTGTTTTTAGATTTGCAACCTTATATTACGATTTAATTGACTGACATGGCCTTTCTAACTTACATGGTAGCTAATCTATTCTAGACTGTTTGGTTGACCACATGGGAATCACGTAGTAGGTAATCTTGATTAACTTTATAAGGCTTGTGTGATGAATATACAGTGGCTTTCAATGTAAACCTGTCGGCGGTAATCAAATCGCGAATATGCTTTGCAAGTGGACGTCAATTGTTTCTTTATACTGCTTATCATTTTTTTATTGGTGTTATTAGGTTTCAAAGGGCTGCCGTTTTATTATTGTATGCTAGAAAGTAGTAAAAAGCATTGTCATAATTTTCAAATTGCTCAATATTTACGTAGCCACCATAAATTTATAAAGGTATGTCTCAGCAAATATTTCATAATTAATTGCCGTTTGCGACATAATGCTTCTGTGGCATTGTTTATATGTATGATTTGGGTTAATACTCTTAATAATACAATATCTACTTTATGACTTTGAAACCCTTGATAAGCTGTTAATTGGATTTAGGCTTTTTAATTACATGCTAATCAAGGTCTGATTCAGCCTCATATGAGCTATCTAATGCAAGAATCTTTCATTTAATTCTAGTTGTTACTCCAGTTCTGTTTTTATTGGGATTCACTGTGGTATTGAAGTTCATAGTTGGGCTCTGTTGAACATCAGAAATGGTTTGTCGTGGTATCCATGTAACGATTGGCGCGTATCCAGTGGTTTTGCTTTGTTCGTTGTAAACCTTTTTTGAGGCTTCACGTATTATTCAAATATTTTTGTAAAGAGCATTTGGGTTGTCGGATCGTTTTGTATGCGATTTGTAATTTTATGAGGGAAGCGTTGCAGCAAGCCTCTCCCACATGGCCGAATATGCGCTGTTCACGTGTACAGCTTTTGTAGAAATAAAAAAATCTAACATTTATCTACGCCTTTTCGTAAAGTAAAATTACCTGTAAATCTAAACAGTTGCTTTAATAGTTGATGTGACTTGGTAAGTCCATATCCAGTTATATCGTAGTCGCACGGTTGCGGGTTTGATCATTTCTTACTTTGATCTTCATAAATATAGCTACTAATTTTCCATGTCCGCCAAAATAAAAGTCATTATAATATGCTCTCCATCATTAATAAGCATGTCTCAATATGTCTGCTATCAATAAGAGCAAGTTTTGTGGTGCTTTTGCCCTAGCCTCGCTTTTCTAGTAGCAGTTTTTCCGCTTTCAAAATCCTGTTTGAGCTATTTTTAAGGCGAAGTTGCATGACTTGGTCTCTTGGATCATCAGTAATTAGTGGCTGTGGTGTTTCCATGAAATTTCTATTAAGATACAAAAGGACGTATCTTTAACCCAGCGGATCCTTCCAATTTGAATTTTCCATTGGAAACACAGCATTCAGGTTTTAGGAGAGTTAAGTTTAGGAACTTAGTTTATGGTCGGCCGTACTTGGAATGCCCGCCCAATTTTAGGC